AAATCACGAGCTCCGTCACTATTTTCATTTTCATCATCATCATTATCATCATAATCATCATCAAAATCATCATTAAAAACATTAAAATCATCTTTAATATCTTCTTCATTAGAAATCTTATTATTTTCAACTTTATTTTTACAAATTACATCAACTACAGTTAAACGTTTTGCATGTGCAAAACAAAGTTGATATTCAGCAGGAGAAATATTTCCTAATTTTTTTATAACGGTATTTTATTTCAAGTATTGTCCTTTTTTTTGTTCAACTATTTCGATATAATATTTATAGATAGGTTCATGACATCTGTTTTAGATTTTGGTAGACTGTAGCTTTTATAATGAAGCAACTCACAAATTTGATCCGATTCAATTATTGCACTTATAGAAAACCCATCAATAGCAGCAAATCAAGCCATTCGTTCTCCTAATAAAAATTTTTTTTATTACAGAATCAATTGTAGTGAACAGAACGTTTTTTATTAAGCGGTTTATCTTCACATTTTTTATTTAAAATGATATTGTGGATTTTCTCTAAATGTTTTTTCAACCCAACGACCTTTAGATAATTTTAATTTTGGACAATGTTTGCATTCATTTTTTTTTAAATCATTTTTTTTTAAATCAAAATAACCAAACCTTTGAATTTTTACGATTTGAGGACATTTTTATAACAATTTTTTTTTTTTTTTTTTTTATTTATTTCGTCAGTAAAAAAAAAGAATATAATGCCGTGTAGTATAAATAAGACCTACATGACTGGGGTTAAAAGAAGACAATACTTGCCTTATCACTACACCCCGACGTGCTTTCATAAGCAAGCGTGTACAACCATTAAAAGTTAAATATGCAATTACTTTGTGCCATTTAATAAATTATATACAATTATTTACAAGTATGTTAAGACTAGTTACTAATCTATAATCAAAAGAAAATAGGTTTTTCTTTTGATTATAGATTTTTTTAAGCAGTTTTTAAACCAAATAGGTTTTGGTTTAAAAACTGCTTGGCTTTGAACAGTATACCAATATTTTTTGAAACTTTATTTTCTATTGTACTTATGTGTTCTCTCCATGTTAAGTTTTCATCAAGTATCACTCCTAAAAATTTTATTGATGACTCTCTAATTATTTTAGAGTTGCCAATATAAAGATTAGGAAGTTTTATTTGAATGTTTTCTTATTCGTGAACTCTATAAAAAAAAGTATACTTAGTTTTATTTAAATTTAAGGACAATTTGTTCGCCTTGAACCATTCCGCTAGATTTAAAAGTTCTTTGTTTACTATTTTAAATAAAAGTTTAATATCTCCATTAGAGTAAAATAAATTCGTGTCATCTGCAAATAAAACAGAGTTTAAAATGTTTGAAAACTTATGAAAATCGTTTACATAAATAAGAAATAAAAGAGGACCCAGAATTGAACCTTGGGGAACACCGCAATTTATTGTCATATAGGAAGATTTTCCTTCTTCGTATGATATATATTGTTTTCTATTGTTTAGATAACTTATGAACCAATCTAAATATGTGCTTTTAATACCATAACTTCGAGTTTTTTTATAAGAATATTATGGTCTACTGTATCAAAAGCTTTGCTAAGATCTATAAAAACTCCAAGAGTAAACTTTTTCTTGTCAAATGCTTTAAATATATCATGAACAATAATAATGGCATGGTCAGTTGAATTACCTGGCTGAAATCCAAATTGTTTATTATATAAAATATTATTTGTATTTAAAAAATTCAAAATCCGATTATACATAATTCGCTCTAAGATTTTTGAGAAGCAAGGGAGAATTGAAATTGGTCTGTAATTTTCAGAATTAGAAATATCTCCTGATTTAAAAATAGGTATAACCCTTGCAATTTTAAGTTTCTCAGGATAGACACCTTGTCTTAAAGAGAGATTAAAAAAAGATTAAAAAAGAGAGGGATTGTCAAGTATTTTATTGATTTTTTTATTACATTACTACTAATATTATCAACTCCTACACTTTTGTTTTGTTTTAAAAGATTTACTGCATCTATAAGTTCATTTTCAGTAATTTCATAAATATCCATTTTAGAGGTCTTATTAGGAGTAAGATATGTCTCAAAGTTTACTTCAGTGGTTTCTATTTTTGACGCTAGAGTGGAACCTACACTTACAAAATTTTGATTAAGTGTTTCGGCAATTAAAGATTTATTTGTAATAACTTTATTATCAATTGTTAGATTTATAGGAAGAATATTTCTGTCAGTTTGTTTCGTACCAATTACTTCCTTAATAATGTTCCAAATATTGTCCCGATCATATTTATGTTTAATTAATTGCTCGGTATAGTACAACTTCTTGGACTTTTTAATAACCATCTCAAAAATACGTTTATAATTTTTGTAATTGGTTTCATTGTTGAAAGTTTTTTTTTTGAGAAATTTATTATATAGTCGTTTTTTTTTTTTTTTTGACGACTTGATAATTCCCGGAGTTATCCATGGATTTGATAATGTCTTTTTTTTCATACATTTTGTAATTAATGGAAACGCTGTATTATAAAGTTGTTGTAATTTATCTAGAAACTTATTGTATGCCTTATTTGTGTGTACAATATCAAGGAGGTCATCCCAGTTTAAATCTGCTAGAAGACTATTAAAATTTTCAATGGATTTTTCATCTATTTGTCGTGTAATTTTTTCAATTTTTTTTTTGCATAGATATTATCGCTTTTTTGTGAGATAAGAAATATAGGGAAGTGGTCTGAAATGTCGCATTTAAATATACTCTTTTTTATTTTTGATTTAAATTCGTTGGTTACTATTTGGTCTATAACAGTTTTTCTCTAGTTATTCTTGTGGGTTTATTAATTAGTGGAATATATATAGCCTTTCTGTGGAATATATAGCCTTTCTGATAAATGACGTTATAGAAATTATTTATTTTTGTATTTAAATGACGCATGTTCATGTCCAGGTTAAAATCACCTACAAAATAAAATTAAAATTTTTGTCGCACAATTAAAATTTTTGTCGCACAGTGATAAATACAAGTATACAATAACATTAAGTGATCTTCTGATGGTCTGGAAAACAAAAATTTATAAATTTGGCGGGAAAGTTAAACGATGTATTGTTTAAAACCATGAATACCGAAAAAAATATTCCGGGATCCCAGAAAAAATTTCCCGGCATTTCGAATTTTTGGTTTATTTTTTTTCCCGGAAATTTCGCGGGAACAATCCCTACTTTCTACACGCTTCATTCATTTATTTTATTTTTATTTTCAGAATTTTATAAATTAGACAAAAAATAAAAATTAAGGAGATATTAAAGGTGAATAAAAATGAGCAATTGCTTTTACTCAGTAATTGGTCAGCTTTACGCTTACGTTTACGCAACTTTGATTAGGGCATTATTCACGTAAAGCTGAGCAATTACTGAGTAAATTGCTTAACCTTTTTGCAATGTAAATTGCTTAATTTGTGCAAAGCTGCCTATTGTCGCAATGCAATAAGGAACAGCTATGTTTTTGTCACGCAAACATAAAACAGAAACATTTATCACTCTCATGTAAAATTTTAATTTTATGAAAACGTCACGTTTTTGAGATACAGCGTTCGATTATTGTTTTTATTTGAATCTAAATGCATTAGTATATTATCGTTCAAAATAAACTTGTGCTTTTTGATTGCACGTCTTCTTTTTGATTGCATATCTTCTTTTTGATTGTTTGTCTTCTTTTTGATTACATGTCTTCTTTTTGATTGCATGTCTTCTTTATGATTGCACGTCTTCTTTTTGATTGCATGTCTTCTTTATGATTGAATGTCTTCTTTATGATTGCATGTCTTCTTTTTGATTGCATGTCTTCTTTTTGATTGCATGTCTTCTTTTTGATTGCATGTCTTCTTTTTGATTGCATGTCTTTTTGATTCTTTTTTATTAAATGTCTTCTTGTTTAGTAAACTTTTTACACACTTAAAAGTAGTGCAATCTAAATAGTTGCTTGTTTCTGAAAAAGTCCTGAATTATAAACTATTTTATAGACAAATATTGAAAATTAATATGCTCCATAATTCTACACTTCTAAAATATAGTCTTTAATGCTACACGAACATAAAATTTGATACACGTTTATGCTTTTTTACAGATAACTATTAAGACTTTGTTTTTATTGCCCTCACACTCCTTGATCTGAAACGTAATAGTTGATAATTTGCGAGTCCAAGAAAGTCATAAAAGTAGAAAAATGAGATTCATTAAAACTATAAAATCATATTTTTCATGTTCATATAATAAAGAACTTAATGATAAAGAAAATCAACTATAAAATCGTGGCTAATTCCATTATTAAAATTATTTCGAAAATTTTTATTTTTATTTTATTTTTTTTTCCAACGTTTTTCATCATTTATTTAGTCTTTCCTTTTTTTTTAACCACATTAGGTGGCAAACGTTTAAGGTAGAAAAAATTTGCTTTGTATTATTGCTCTTTCATACACATTTTCTTTTTTGAGTTGGTATTAATTTTCTTTGCTTTTTGTTGTTTGTCCATATTTCGATCCCAGAAAATCTTTGCGAAAATTTTGTTAAATCTATTTTTAGAACCGCAACGGTACCCTATTTTAATGTAAAAATAAAACGGTGTTACTTAAAAAAGTTTTTTACATTACAAAATTTGAAATACACATGATTTGGGTATTTCCATACACTCTTGTTCCCATTTTTTCATAATAAAAATGCTGAGAGATTCTTTTTCGCTAGTAATGGGTTTAATGGCTGCGATAATATCTGTGCAAACATGCACGAATGAACTTTAATACTATGTCGTTCAATATATGATATGATTTAACACTAATAGATTTTATAATTGACGGTAATCAAATAAAGTATATAAATAAAGTAGGTTTTGTAAATGTATAAATTTATAAAAATAGATATTACCAAAAAAAAGAAAAGGGAAAAGTTAAAATTTAACCCAAATAATTATCCCATTACAACTAAAACAAATAACAATAATTTACCTTTCCATTTTCTATTTCCCTGTGTTATTTTAAGATTTTTAATAAATCCAGGTTGTGCTTCATACCACGGATTAGAAACATATACTTTAACATTAGAAAAGTCTCTTGTATCATTATTTTCTATATATAAAATTCTTTGACCATTAAGTTCAATTGAGTAAATATATTTACTTTCTTTAAACTCTTGTGCTATTTTAACTGAACTCCAATTATGAAGACCTAGTTTATTCGTATTTTTAACATAATTGATAATACCACTAACCGCAGAGCAAATATGCAACCCGCTTCCATTTTGATGAAAAAACACTGCTGGATTCCGATCGCCATATTTATGATTGTTATTATTAGTAGTCAAATGAATGACATTTGCCCATTCATATAAAAATCTTGTTGGTTTAATTTCAAAAGAAACTGTGTATTCTTTAGTATGTTTCATTAATGTTTTTACCAGATTGTTTTTCAATATTGATGTTTCGTTTTGAATGAGGAAAAACTCTATAATGTTAATTCAGAAGATGTATACTGTTATATGCATGTATGCATACATGCATGCATACATATATACATACATACATACATACATACATACATACATACATACATACATACATACATACATACATACATACATACATACATACATACATACATACATACATACATACATACATACATACATACATACATACATACATACATACATACATACATACATACATACATACATACATACATACATACATACATACATACAGAGACGTAGACAGAATTTTTTGTTGTTCGAGATAGGTAACTTTCATTTATCGATAAATATAAGTCTACTTAAAAATAGTAGAAAAAATTGCTCTCACGTTTAGGGCAGGGAGGCGAAAATTTTAGGGTTTTTTTGTTCCCAGCTCCCAATCATTGCTATTTTTTGCAAAACCTCATTATTTGATGTAAGTATAAAAGTATAAATTTTTGAAGTTTTCTCCATGTCTGGAAGTTACCTACATACATACAAACATACATATGTAATAATTTTTTGTTTTCAAAAATATTTATTAGATTATTTATTAGTTTATTTGTTTTTCTAAAGAAAAACAAATAAACTAATAAATGATCTAAATAATTTAAACAAAAATCTTTGTAACGTATTTTAAATCATCGTAAATCTACAAAAGTAAGAAACAAAATTTTTACTTTAAACTACATCTTGGCAAACTTGATGATTATAAAAATGCAGTTTTTAGTTGGTCATTAATAAACACTAATGCCCTTGTAACAAAAAAAGTACTTAACTAGGCCTTTCAATTTGTTATCGAACAAGGGAGACTGAAATGCCTTACCACACCAAAACCGTCATTATCAATGGTACCGAGAAAAACGTAAATAACGACTGTAAAAAGCTTGCGTAGCTGTACGTATAGATAAAAAGCTTTGCGTAGCTGTCATATGTATATGTCATTTCAGCAGGGCCGGCGCGAGTAGATGTCACGTGGGGGGTGCCATTACATTTTGTCGACTAAAAAAAAAAAGAAAAAAAAAAGGTCCTCGTTTTCCAAAATTTGCCGACTGCCATGATGACATTTACCGACTGTCGAGATTACCGACTAACCTATATCGAAAGGGTCAACATTTGCCGACTAACTACTCTAAAAGGGTCCAATTTGCCGACTAAAAATCATTAATGGGGGGGTCGAACCCCTGCCCCCACACCTCCCTATCGCGCTGGCCTTGCATTTTAGTATAAACAATAAGCATATCTGTCTATTTTTGTCTAATTCTGCCTAATTATATGGATTTTAAAATGATTTTTAAAATGAACAAAAAATTACATTGAAAGTAGTCTTTTACATAATCAAAGTTAAAAATTTGTTGAAAGAATGGGTGAAATAGAAAAATTTAAAGTTGAATAAATTCTGCTGAAGTAAAAAGTATATATTGTAATGAAGCTATATTAAAATCATCAGTTACTTAAAGTTATAATAGATAGCAATCGCTTTAAAATTTTAACTTTTATAGCCACTCTAAATGATTTGAACTAATAAATCTATAAACATAAGCATGCACGTAAAATTAAAATAATTGCATATACATATAAACTATCGAATATTCTATATATAATAGAGTTGTTCAAAAAATAATTTTTCGAAATGCCTTACAAAAACCTCTAAAAGTCATTTATAAAAACCTCTAAATGTCATTTATATACAAAACGATACTGCAATTCAGATTATAAATTAGATTATAAAAGTTAGTTGGAAGGATTTATCTTTATTTAAAATCTTATTTAAAATAGTAAGTCTCTTATACATAAAATGATGAAATAAAGTTACTATTACGAATGAAGTTTTGATAATTTTAAAAATGTTTTAGATTTCAGATTGACATTCTTAAAATGGGATGTGGCATTGGCGCCAACCTGAAAGTGGCGCAAAAGAGGCTCGATTGCGATACAACCAGCAAAAATTATATAAAATAAATTAGGATTTAAAAAGACAGACTTTAATTTTATTTTAAATAAATCAAAACTAAAATATACACTGGCGCCTGGTATTGCTTGCATGGGCGCCCTCTAATTTGCTGGATTCGTCTTCTACAAATATAGTCAAAAATATTTTGTTGAGATATACTAAGGTAATTAAAAAATATATTGCTTTTTTTATTATGTATAGTAAATTCTTAATAATTTAAAAAACAATTAGCTAAGAACCATGAATCGTTCTTTTGAGAAAAAGAAAGAAAGTGGGGCTGCAGGTCGAAAATGACGTTCATTAGAGACAAAAGAAAGAGAAAAAAACAGCAAAGTTTTTAAGACGTTTTTTCAAAAATTGAACACAAGCACGACTTTTTCAGATAATCCAGAAAATTTTGTAAGCGCAAGGCCTCAAGAATTAGAAGATACTTGGTCAAGTTCAAGCAAGAAAGAATTAGTTAAAACATCTATTGCTGACGATGCAGAGAATTTTAGTTATAATTCCAAAATTCTTGCTACTTCTGAAAAAACAGAAGTTTGGCCTGTTTGATAAAAAAATGAAGATTGATGATGTTGAAGATAAAGACTTGATATCAGAAAACGTTCAAATTATTAAATGTCCCTACCTAAAAATATTGAAGAACACAACATTGGATTTCTTGTGTCTAGTGAAGAAACAGCAAAAGCAATCATAACTGATCTATTAAGAATTAAAATTATTAAACATGGTTTTAAACATTTTCAATACATTGAAGGTCCTTTTCTGCCGACTAATAATTGTTCTATGAACAAAACTTGATTCTTTAAAAAGTTAGGAAATGGTCACGATGAGCAAGTGATGTGTTCATGGTTGGTTTACTCGCCTTCCAAAAAGTCTGCCTTTTATTTTTGCTGCTTCTTTTTTCAAAATGTGAAAATTAATCTAGTTTGACAATGAGTCAGACAATGCTTTACTCAATAAAAAAAACTGGAAAAAAATTTATTTTACAATAAAGGAACAATTGATGCAGAACTTCAACAACAAATTCAAAGAGAAAGTCAAAAGTGGTGTGATATTTTGAAAAGGCTGTAGCACTGCATTGAATACCTTGCAATGCAAAATTGCTCTAATATTGTTAAGCTAGCTTAACAATAATGGAGCAATTAGAAAAAGATGATATGAATGTAGAAAATTGCAGGTCACAATGCTATGACAATGCTGCCGGTATGGCTGGCCACAAGAGTAGTTTGCATCAAAGAATAAAGAAAAAAAACAACCTTGCCATATTTGTAGTCACAATCATAGTCTTAATTTGGTAGGCATACATGCGGCTAAAGAAGAAGTATTGGTTGTTACTTTTTTTGGAATCGATGCGCTTTACGTTTTTTTCTCAAAATCAATTCAACGATGGCAATAACTTAAAGATGCTGTGCCTATTACTTTGAAGTCCGATTTCGATACCAGGTGGAGTGCCAAAAAAGAATCAGTAAAACACATCTACATTGATGAAATAGTGGAAGTTCTTCAGAACTTAATGGTAGACAAAAGCGCGTCAAATGAAACGAAAAGCAATGTAAAGGAGTTTTATAACAGAATTTTAACGTATGACTTTCTCTCATTGCTAGAGTTTCGGAACAAGATTCTTAGCCGAATTTACCAAGTCCAAAAGAGGTTGCAGAACCCTAAAATGAACTTTTATAATGTAGATTTAGATTTAAAATTGCTCCAAGATTATTTTCAAAGTAAGAGAGAAGTCTTAGTTAATAACATAAGCATGAATAGGCATATGTGCGAAATGACATAAGTGCGAAGCGTTGAAAAAACTGGCATAAGTGCGAACTGGCATAAGTGCGAATTGGCATAAGTGCGAATTGGCATAAGTGCGCCAAAGCATTGTGCAAACATTGGCATAAGTGCGAATTGGCATAAGTGCAAACTGGCATAATTGCGAATCAGTTACAAAAACTGGCACAAGTGCGAAATGGCATAAGTGCGAAATGGCATAAATGCGCCAAACAAATTTGCAAACATTAGCAAAGTGCGAATTGGCATAAGTGCAAACTGGCATTAGTGCAAAGCAGTTACAAAAACTGGCATAAGTGCGCACTGTCGTAACTACGAATAAGCATAAGTGCGCTAAACCAATTTGCAAACATTGGCATAAGTGCAAATTGGCATAAGTGCGAACTGACATAAGTGCAAACTGGCATAATTGCGGAGCAATTACAAAAACTGGCATAAGTGCGAACTGGCATAACTGCGAATTGGCATAAGTACGCCAAATAATAACTAGCATAAGTGCAAATTGGCATAAGTGAGCCAAAACAAATTTGCAAATTTGTTAGGCGCACTTATGCCAATTCACACTTTTGCCAATTTTTGTAACGCTTCACTTTTATGACAGTTCGCACATTTGCTAATTCGCGCCTATGCAGCCTCCCGGTTCGATTGATGGAAATTGATGAAAAATTGGATTTTTCTTGACGTGGGAGGGTTGTGCTTCATTACGAAAATCAATATTTTAAAAAATCAATCTAAAAAAATTTGGCAAAGTTTACAGTTCTGATGTGGATGGACGAAAACTGTACAAAGAAATTTTGGACTGTAGAATGCTGCTTACTAGCCGTAAGGAAAAAATATCAATTCCCGAGTAACTGCTTATGTTTATAGTTGAATATGGAGATAAAAACTTTTTCCTTAATATGTGTATAGCATTGCAAATATTGCTAACAATAGCTGTATCTGTAGCTAGTTGCGAGAGATCATTCAGTAAACTTAAACTGGTTAACTCTTATTTGAGAGCTTTGATGGGCCAAAACCGTCTCTCTGATCTCGCTTTACAAAGTATAGAGCGAGAAATTACCGAAGAAATTGATTTTGACAATATTATTAAGAATTTTGCTGCAACTTAAGCTAGAAAAATAAATTTGTTATATATGTTACATAAACAAGTTGTTTATTTATAATGTTTAATATTTAAAATAATTATAATAATAATATTTAAAATAAAGTATTAATTTATAATAATAATATTTAAAATAAAGTATTATTTTAAGTTTGTGTCATCATTTATTTAAAAAATTGTAATTGAGCACTTTTTGTGGCGGAGAAGGGGCGCGAGATCAGTGTTTGCTCCAGGCGCTATTTACCCTAGGTACGCCACTGAACACATTTAGAAGGTAATAAGACACCTTAGATAAGTGTTGCTGGTTTCTAAACAAATCTACAATAAATGTATAAATATATACATATATATATATATATATATATATATATATATATATATATATATATATTATATATATATATATATATATATATATATATATATATATATATATATATATATATATATATATATATATATATATATATATATATATATATATATTATAATTCATTTTAAAAAATTTTTATATTCTTTCAACAATGGGACGAAGTAAACATAGAACAGATGCCTTTCGAGGACAAGTGCAGGCATTTCCAGATCAAGAAAAACTCTGAACTAGCTCAATTTATCTTATTATTAACTTTTTAGCATTAATAAATTTATCAAAAAGTTATCAATGCTAATAATTTATCTAACAATGCTGCTTCATTAAACAACAAAAAAAGCAAGTATTGAGAACGAAAGACAAATCCCCTAGAAAAGACGCAGCCATTGTTCGTTTCGCTAAGTTTGCTGGCGCACCAAAAATTAAAAATTAAACCGCTCAAAATTTACCAGTCAATCTACCTTTCAGCACTGTCAAAAAAAGCTTACGCAAAACTAAGCTATTTGCAAGAAAAAACCATTTGGTCTCAAAACGTAACCTCGTCAGTCGTTTGAAGTCTGCAAAACGTATTATAAAAAAATTTTCAGTACGTATATAAGGAGTTACGTTTTCGGAAAAATGTGCTTTAAACTGAAGAGTCTAAGTTTAATTGCATTGGATCCGACGGAAAACAATATATTCGTTGTCCCTAAAAACAAGAACTTAGTCTTCAGTATACTCTAAAGTGTGTTAAACATAGTGGTGGCGTTTTCATGGTGTTGCTTAGAAACGTTGCATAGAATTTAAGGAACAATCAATCAACTCATTTACAAAGAAATACTAAAAAATGTTGTGTTTCCTTATGGTGAGGAAATTTTCGTTTGGTTTGGAAATTCCAACAAAACAACGACATCAATCACGCCGCCAAGAGAGTTAAAATATGGTTTAACACTAACAAGATTGATGTTTTGGAATAGCCCGCACATTCACCAGACCTAAATTCAATAAAAAATTAGTGTTAGGAAGTTGTCAGAAACATAAATCAATCAACTGCAAAAAAACTAGATCAATGTTAATCGAAATAAAGTCGGCTAGGGATGCCATTACTCCTCAACAATGCCAAAAATTGATCTTGTCAATGGGCCGTCGCTGTCAAGCAGTTATTGACTCGAAAAGATACCCCACTAAATATTAATTTACCTCAAATAAAGTTTTCTTAACTATTTATACAAAGAAATTCTGTGATTTTCATAACAAAGGGACGAAATCATAGTTCTTTAACAGGGTGTGCTATTTAAATTGTCCCCTTATTCTGTACCTCTAAATCATTTATATGGTCGAATTTTTTGAATATATATATATATATATATATATATATATATATATATATATATATATATATATATATATATATATATATATATACTTTCCATTGAGAAGGCATAAGGTGGTTTGTCGACAATTGCATAAACAATTGGCATTTTCATCAGAATTAAATAATATCTTTTTATTATGAGAAGTAATAATACTCTTGATGTTTGGAAGGCAGCTATACACCAAAATTCACCAAAATTCTTGATAAATCACTGAAAATTATTTATCACATCAGGAAATCTTTACTTTTTTCAGGAAATAATATGTGGATTAAAAAGTCGGTGGAATCTAATTTCGATGTTAGTTTTCACTATATTTGCTCTAACACGCTGTATTGAGCACTCTTACTGGAAATATTAACATAATTCCTACTATATATATATATATATATATATATATATATATATATATATATATATATATATATATATATATATATATATATATATATATATATATATATATATATATATATATATATATATATATATATATATATATATATATATATATATATATATATATATATATATATATATATATATATATGTATATATATATATATATACAACCTTTATTATTGTTAACATGCTTCGCTGAACAGGATTATGTATTTTCACTGTGGCACTAAGAGAAATGCTAAACAAGGATTATGAGCTCTTCACCATCTTACTCGTAACTAAACTGTGTGTTTTTTATCAAATTATTTTTCCTCTTGATAAGTTTGTTTTACCACGGCCTAGAACCCATGACAGCCCTAATACTGAATTAATTTAATAATATTACCAGGTTATATATAGAATCATTAAACAAAAAATGAATATAAAATATTTAAAGACATTACATAATAAAAAATACTCATAGGCATAAAAATGAACGTAGATCAAAAAATCTACCTTTATATAAACAAGTGCATGATCTTGTTTTGACGCTGCTTCCTGAGCAGTTTAACATTCGATTAGAGCTGCAGTTACGAGTTCTTGTTGAAATACAAGATGTGTTACACAATGACCACTCACTCCATTCTGACCAAACAACTAAAAAAAATTGAATCAAATTCAACTTCCTTAAAGTATGTATAATCATTTTGTAAATCAATCATGGCGGTAAAAAAAATGAATTTTTTTATGTTTTTTCCGTGATATATATTTTTTTATTTGTCTTAAAAAGTATATATATCACAGAAAAAACACAAAAAAACTAACAGTTATATTTGTGTTAATAAGATATATAATTTCACAACCTGGAGATAATCCACTGTCATAGGGTGGTAGCCCTCCTATCAAAAAATTTGGTGTATTTAATTACAAAGCAATATGGTTAATAAAATTAATGCCAATGGTTACTCGGCCATTAAAAACACAGCGCCATCAATCGCCCACCTTAATATTTGGATAATGGAGCTAATGAACATCATTTCAGAACAGAAAGCAACTATCTACTTGCTAGCCAACCAAATCAAAAAAACTTGAACAAAAAGTAGCTTGTATAGAAAATAATCTCACCTCTCAATCAGTTTTATGCATAGCAAGTCTCGAAAACTTGCTATATATGAAACCTTTAAAAAAAGTCTCAGTCAGTCCTGACTTGTCACCAGCTGAAAGAGAGCTTGAGTATCAACTACGAAAAGACCGCAACACTTGTAACGATAAATTTCGAATTGATAACCCTGATGCGCTCTTTCACTGTGCCATCCGCAATGGAGCAATAGTCAAGATCCGCGGTGCCCTCAATCCTCTCTCCTCATCAATAAATTAGATTAGCAGCCAACACCAATTGCTTACCAGCTATCTCCACCACTAACATGCGCTCACTCTGTAACAACATCGAGATCTTTAATCAGTTTCTCAGATACCAACATTGATGTTGCCTGAAACGTGGCTAAGCTCTGCTGATAAGCAAGTTATTCTCTCTCAAGTCAATAGTAATTACACTTACATAAGCATTGAACGTCAGGATGATATATGTGGTCTCACTAGCTCACTCACCTTAATTCACAACCATGTGAAATCAGCAATTCTGGACATCATCCTAATTAATGTTCTAAAATGCTACGTATCCAAAACCCTTCCCAGCTTTAGAAATTCAGACCATCTTGTTGTAGTTAGTCCGTCCCCCCTCCTCCTTCAATCTATACAAAACCACTCATTCGACTCCCCAAAAGGTTACATATTGGTCAGTTAGAGCTGCTGATAATGTTGCATTAATACGATCTACCGAACTTGAAACTCTAGTTGATTCATTGTATGAAATGCAAGCCGTCTGCAACAACTTCTACTATTCTGTACTCTATGCTCAAGACATTTGCCAATCATTGAGAACTACAACACTTGTCAACCCCAAACATTGGATGACGCCGTTTATTCAGAGCCTTATAAAAGAACGTCAGCAACTTTATTCTTCCGGTCACTATTCTGAGTGGAAAGTACTTACAAATCGAGTCACCAAACTAATCACCAAAAAAAACATATTTATAACCGACACTTCTTCTACGGTAAAACAAATTTTAGGCGAGAAATCGGGCTTGCCAATAAAAAACAAATCACTTATTCTATCTCTAAGACATTAGCAAACCAATTGAACGACCATTTCCAAAATGTTTGGAGCGATAAGAAACAACCTAACCTCTTGTTATTCATCAACCTTCAAGCAGACCTACGTATTACCCCCATTTTTGTTATTAATAACATTCTCAATCAACCCAGCAAACTAAAGACAGGATCATTAGGACCTGACAATCTCTCCCCAATTTTACTCAAATCTGCTTGCTTAGAAATTGCCCTATCACTCAATATCCTTTTTAACCGGCTAATAGAAAAGAGTTACTTTCCTGATCAATGGAAATCAGCAAATATAACAACCATTTCTAAAATCTCAAACACACTATCTTTTAATGAATATCGTCCAATTGCTATTACGTCTGTGCTATGCAAGTGTTTGAACGTATTGTCACTAAATTCATCGTCCATCACACCAAACACATCTTGATCTCAAATAAACAGTTCGGTTTCCTTCCAGGCCGTAGTACAATCAATGCAATTATTCAAGTTATAGATGATTGAGTTATGCTAAAGATAATAATAAATCAATTTTTGCAAAATTCTTTGATTTTTCAAAAGCATTTGATCTTGTTGATAATTACAATTTGTTACTAAAGTTAGTGAATATTCTACCTAACTGGCTCACATCTTGGATCACAGCTTACTTATCTAATTGTCGCCAAAGAGTAAAAACAAGTAACCACACTACTGACTGGAAATATATACAAGCCGGAGTACTTCAGGGTAGTGTTCTCGACCCAATCTTGTTCATTCTCTTTTTCAAAATAAGTACCTACCTCCTGCCTGAAACCATTTTCAAAAAGTATGCTGACTATATCTTGACCTACATTATCTATGATAAAGTGCCTGCCAATTTACCTCAACCCGTTGTTGATGGCGTCGCTCGATGGTCTGTGGCCAATAGGATGAAACTCAACAGCTCCAAATTTAAAGTCATTAGAATCAATGCCCGTTGCTCCAACACTCATACTTTACCATCTCCCATACTCAATAAAACTGAACTCATAATTGTAAACAGCTATAAATAACTCGAAATTCTGCTCAATGACAATCTTGATTGAGATGAACAATGGATAAAGGTGCAACACTATAAAATCAGTGCTATTTCTACTCAAGCGTCTTAAACAAATCGGACAACTCAGCCCAACCTACTACAAGTCAACAGATCTTACTCTACTAGCCACATGATATATAGTTATTACCTCTTGCAGTCTTGCAGCAAAAAAAGAGATTCAATATTTCCACAAAAATGGCTTAAACATCATTGGAGTTAATGCAACCAACTCAAGCCGTCTCAATATTTGTTTTGACATTGAAGAATTACTTGAAAAGACATGTATTAATATCCTTAAAAGAACCTTGCAGAAACACTATCCGATAACCACTAAATTACCTTGCACCAATAGCAGAAACCCAAACGGATTCCCATTTGCTTTAAATACCGCAATTACTACTACCTATCAGCAATCCTTTTTTCGCCATCACGAAAAATACCTACGTATTCTTTGTGATGGCGTTAGTGACCTCTACCTCCCACGAAACGTTGCCAGCTCCGCTGCTTTTTCAACACATAAATGATCAGTTCTTTTTTCTGCGTTTTTAGCTAACTTTCACTCATCATTTAATAATAGATAAAATTGTACAATTGATTATTTGTAATACTAATCAATTTTAAATAAAGATTTATATAAAAAAGTATATATATTATTAATATATAATATTACTTTTTAGCATTTGATAAAGTGTAACATAAACAAATACTCTACAAACTAAAAAAGTAAAAAGTCTAATTTATCATTTTTATCAGCAACCTGCCATATGTAATAAGAAAAAAAAGCATTAGCAAGATCTATACTAATGACAACTAAAATCCTCAGCATTGTCAACACACATGCTACTCAACTTCAAATCCAATTAGTCATCACATAAATTGTTCCTTAAACCAACTATTGGCTCATAGAATTAAACATAAAGAAATGTAAGGCCAGGTGAATAAAAATGAGCAATTGCTTTTACTCAGTAATTGGTTAGCTTTACTTGAATAAAAACTTCACCAATTTTCCTTAAAATTTTATTCACGTAAAGCTGAGCAATTACTGAATAAGTTGTCTAACTTTTCATAAATAAAAATTTGAGCAAAACTGCTGAAGTTTTTATTTATGTAAAGCTGAACTATTACAAAGTAAAAGCAGTTGCTCATTTTTATTCACTCGGCCTGTAAGTTCATACACTTCAGTCAAAAATATTTGATTTCATTTGTAGGTATTCAAAAAAACAGGGGTATGGTATTTATCTAATTTGATAAATACCATACCTATATTGGAAACAAGTACCTCTGAGCTCGAATTTAGAATCCATAATACAAATGATCCGAAAAAAAGCTAATCAATAATTCGCAAATGTAAAACATATTAAACACTTCCTCATAAAAAATTTTAAAATATAGAGTAATATTGACATAACTGACCCTTTCCACTTATTACAATTCCACCAAGAGCTTTATGTAGAGATATCACCAGGTGAAATATTGCAAGTTTTTAGCTCATTTCAAACTTTTCAACAACAACATTGACAATGTATGGAACAGCTTTGCAAATAATGTAGTCTACTTAATTTTCCGCCACCAACTTCAAATTGGGTTTTGATAGACTCCTTAGTTAAAGTAGCTCACAAGTCACAAGTTTCCGTAATTAATTACTACTACTACTATTTCTACTACTACTACTACTACTACTACTACTACTACTACTACTACTACTACTACTACTACTACTACTACTACTACTACTACTACTACTACTACTACTACTACAACTACTACTACTACTACTACTACTACTACTACTACTACTACTACTACTACTACTACTACTACTACTACTACTACTACTATTACTACTACTACTACTACTACTACTACTATTACTACTACTACTACTACTACTACTACTACTACTACTACTACTACTACTACTACTACTACTACTACTACTACTACTACTACTACTACTACTACTACTACTACTATTACTACTACTACTATTTCTACTACTACTACTACTACTACTACTACTACTACTACTATAACTACTACTACCACTACTACTTCAAATAGCAGGGTCGTCCCTAGGGGTGACAACCGCGGCAAGCTGCCCCAGGCACTGTAGCCGATGGGGCACCACAGGAAGTTTTTTATTTTTAAGCAGTTTTCATAACTACATAAAAAAGCTTTACCATTTTAAAACTTGGGCGCTCAAAAATTTTAGCCATTGACTTCAATGAATATTTTAGGTTGCGTTAAGTTTATTTTAGCGTTGTTTGTTTTAATTACTTTTTTTAATAATTTTGATTATTAACGCTGAACTTATGTTTTTTTTGCGCGGATAATAAAATAAATAAACCGACAAGAAAGTAAGTTAATAAAAATTTTGTAATAAAAAGGGTTGCAAACTTTATTCAAAAGTGCCTTTAATGATGAATTAAAAAATTTAGATTATGAAGAGTTTATGTTTCCAGAAACGAAAACAAATTTTTACTGCGTTAATTTGAAATTGAATATTTTTTTTATTGAAAATGTTAAAAAACTGTTAGGTTCTCAGAGAAACAAATTTGCCAAGGACTCTGAAACAGCCCATGAAACTATTTTAAGTGAAGTGCCAAAACTAACACATTCTTTTCATTATCCAGGTTCTTCAAAACCTTGTGAATCAAACATTTTGTATGATAAAAACTCATTAAAAACATCTAGTGAGACCTCCACTCTTTCTCAATCTAACCAAGAGGAGTTATATAGTTCAACTTTTTCAGCTAATTTTGCTACATGTTTATTGACTTCATACTTAGAAATTTGGAGCCAAAAATCTCAGAATGCATCAAGGAAAATAAAAAGCCTAAATGTAATAAAAATCCTTTAATAGTTGAGACAGATGATAGTTTTACAATTATTTTTTTTAGGTTATTTAGGTGCTCCCAAAAGTCTTAACGTCTTATCCCAGTACACTGTTGGAGAACATTTAACTAGAATTTCACGCCTCCTTTCTTACCAATGTCGCTTATTGGGTTAGAGCCGGCGTCGAACCTCGGACTTCTGGGTTCTGAGCTAGAACTCTAACCACTGCGCCACGGCTGCTATATTACAAATACAGATTTTTTGCACAGAAGTGACACTTGAAGATTCTTATCTAATGACCCATCCACTCGGCCGGAACGGCTGGTTTTAAGAGAGACTACATTATCAAAACGAATCCAATACCTTTCCTTCAGAACAATAAAGAATATCTTAAAACCAAAAAACGTCATTTTTTAAATGAATTTCGATACAGGATAGCGAGAAATGGCGAACAAGTTAGAGGAGATGACTTATATACTCTCCAGAAACTGATTTAGCTTATTGTTTTCTTTGCAATGTTTGAACCAGCTCCAAAATCATAATTTGGGAAATATGAAGGTTTTAACAACCGGAAAAAGTTCACAGAGCAAGTCTACAAGAGACATCTTCATCTTATATCAGTTGGTATGACAAATGGGTTGAAATAACAATCAGGATAAAAAATGAACAAGCTGTCAATCAAGGTCTTATTGCACAAATTAACAAAAAATGGTGGAGAAGCATTCTTAAGAAAATAACGTCAACGATTTTATACTTAGCGGACATAATATTTTATTCCGTAAAAGCTTATCAAAGCTATTTACCATATATAATGGGAACGTCTTTGGTCTTATCCAATTACTTGGTTAACTTTGATTTAATTTTGATGGAACATTTACGGTGAACTGAAGATGGAGAAAGACGTTCACAAATGTTAAGTTTCAATATATAAAACGAGGTCATTAATTTCTTAGCTTTGCATGTAAAAGAAGCTATTGTAAACTAGCTAAAAAATGAGTCAAAGTGAGGATTTCTATTTGACCTTAAAAAACTTTTACCAAAGGACAAACTTATAGAGAATAATAAAATTTTATAAGAACACCTGACTCTGAAAAATATCTCAGATATAAATGGGGAAGAAAACTGTAAAAAAAAAAATTAAACACGTCAATTTGATAGCTACTGTTTTTGACAAATGGTGGCCGAAAAAAACACTATTACCATTAAAAGCACTCAATATAATTAAAAACACCGACAGAAAAGACCTTTTTACTGTGGATCTATCTGTGGATAGCACTACGTATATTGTTGACAATTTCAATGACAATGGCTAGCAGTGAACGTAGTTTCAGCAAGTTGAAGTTAATTAAAACATACCTATGCACATCGATGACGCAAAAGATTGATGTTGTTTTTAAACTTTTCTAATTCTGAATAGTCTAGAAGACTAGCACCTATAGAGTTAGGAAAACACCAGTTATTTGGCCAGAAGTTTTGCATATTTTTTTAATCCAGACTTGTTTCTTTTAATTGTGTGGCACGGTACTCCATCTTGGGTGAATGCAACTTTTGTACTTTTATCATATTATCTTGAAGCCAGACATAATATTATGAAATGCTTTTAAAAGCACTATTTTTTAGTTTTTCACCTTCTTTCACAAACAAACGAAGCATTTTTTGGCCAACAGAGGCAATGACTGCAAAAACCATGATCTGACAAGAATGTTTTGTTTTTAATGTATGTATGAAGTGTTCAAAATGTTTAATTAGATTATCTTTATTTGAGGCACGAGCAACTGAAAATAAAATTTTTTTCGAGGAATAAAACCTGCATGTCATTTTTCAACGAAGCCAAGATTCGTTTCCTTCTTTCAGGTCTGGTGGCCTTGAGTACATTAAGTAAGTTATGGTCGAGTCGTTCAGACTAAAAATCTAATCATAATATCTCATTTTATGAAATTTCTCAATGTTTTTTCTTGCATGTTAAAGTTCATTGCCATTTGCCGCATTAACCGTACCGGGTTCCTGGTCTGTTGGGACTTGACAGCCCTCAAAACTTTTAGGGTTAGTTTTTAACGTGGTCTTCCATCTCCTTTTTATCAGCAACCAACCTTGGGCGCCATCCCAGAACTAAAGTCTTAAACATTTTGAACTAGGTCTAAATATTGCTTTTATAATTTGCCATATTAATTTACACGTCGTAAGATTTTCATGGACACCAAAAACCCGAAGGTAATTTTAAACTTTTAGTGAGAAATCTGTTTTTTCTAACTGCAATATTTTTTAATACTGACCCTGTAAAGTTAAAAAAAAATGTATAAATTACCTTGTGTTTTACTGTAAATTGATAAATTTTTAATTGATCCATAGTTGCAAAAGGAATTAAAAGAACAATCAACAAAAGTATACAAAACAACGTCATTAAACACCATTGGTTGAGTAGTTATATTAGAAAATTGCACTGTTCCATTAACAACCATTGTAATTTTATAAGTGTTATCATTATTTATATATAAATTAGAAATTAAAACTGAAGTCGATTTTTTAGCTGCGGCTTCAATAGAAAATACATTACTTAATGAGATAATATTTAAATAACAACAACCAAAAATATTGAAGCTCAACACACTACCGACATTTTTATCAGTAATATCTATAATAGATGTGGTTGGTTTCCCAGTTGATAATATTACAAATGATACCACAAATTCATCGTAAAAGACATCCAAACTTTTACGAGTGTACTCATTCTCTATCTTTTCAATAAAAAAGGAATCTAAAAAAAGCGTTGTTTGCATTTTTAAAAGATTCATTCATATATATATATATATATATATATATATATATATATATATATATATATATATATATATATATATATATATATATATATATATATATATATATATATATATATATATATATATATATTATATATATATATATATATATATATATATATATATATATATATATACATATATATATATATATATATATATATAAATATATATATTTATATATATATATATATATATATATATATATATATATATATATATATATATATATATATAAATATATATATAAATATATATTTAAATATATATATATATATATATATATATATATATATATATATATATGTATATATATATATATATATATATATTATATATATATATATATATATATATATATATATATATATATATATATATATATATATATATATATATATATATATATATATATATATATATATATATATATATATATTAGGGGCATGTTTTGTCACTCGCGAAGGGGAGGGTTAAAAAGTTCTGGAAAAAAATTAAAAAAGTCCGCATATTTTCATTTATAAGTAACTTTTATTTTTAATTTTTTTTACTTTAGTCCAATAATCAGTTCATATACGTAATTACGTATAGTAGTCAATTTCATTCGTCAGTATAACTGTCCGATTTTGTATAATAGTAAATTTACAAAAGAATATTTCTGAAAAAAATGACCCTCTATGTATATTTATATATATATATATATATATATATATATATATATATATATATATATATATATATATATATATATATATATATATATATATATATATATATATATATATATATATATATATATATATATATATATATATATATATTTATATATATATATATATATATATATATATATATATATAAATATATATATATATATATATATATATATATATATATATATATATATATATATATATATATATATATATATATATATATATATATATATATTATGGATTAATTAAAAAGTTTAAAAAAAAATATAGACTTTTTACTAATTTTTACTGCTCATCAGAATTCAATTTAAAAATATATTGTTGGAGTGTATTTCTTTATAATTTATCTCTGTACTGTAGTTGTCTTCAATATATAATCTCTTTAACGAACAAGTGGTTTGATTTTAACTTTATTTATTTTTTACCTATCTTATATTTATTTATTATTGTGTTATTAATGTTACATTTTATATTATTATTATATCTAATTTTCATCTATGATTTGTACATACAATTTATATTGTTTTATAATATTCTTAATATTGTTGATACTTTATTATTATTGTTTTTATTTTGTATTATTACTATTATTATTACATATATCATTATTATTTGTTTAACAATCCTTTCTTTTATATATACAAATGTTGAGTTTTTCCTTTTGTTTTTTTTTTGTTTTGTTTTTTGTTTGCTTTTGTTTCTTTTTTTTTTTTTTTCCTTTTTATTTATTTATTTTTACGTGAAATTTTTATGTTTTTTAGGTGTCACTTCATTGACTAGTTTGTAACTATATAAGTGACACCTAATCAGTTTATATTAATTTACAATAAAATTTGTAAATTTTATTGATATGGTTAAATAAAAAAAAAAAACAATTTGCACAATGACAGATTCATAATTAAGGATTCTGATTCAAAGTTTAATAAATTCTTCTACACACAATTTTATACAATTTAATTCTTTTATACTATATTAGAACAACAACAACTTTTTTTAAATAGATAATCAATAACAAAATACTAAAACTTAGCTCAACTTACTCTCCAAATAACAGTTGTAGTTAACAATTGTGTACTTTGTGACATTTATACATGGATCTGGATTAACCACTACGTTTTTGGATAATATAGAACAACTGTTTTTTCCATTGCAGATATTTCGAACAACATCTGTGATATTTTTTAATTTGCATTTGCTTAAATCTACAGTTAATTTGTTTGGACATACTTTACTGTTATTACGACCATATAAAGCACTTTGAATTAATATTATTGATCTATCAGGACATATTATTGAACTTGATGAAAAATCGCAAAAAACAGCTACTATAAGAAAAAGAAAAATGTATCACAATCATAAACATTTTTATGACAATTTAACAAAAAATTAGAAAAAAAAATAATTTTCTTTTTTATTTATTAGATACTGCAAGAAGTCCTTACGGCATTATCACAGAGCACCAAGGAGTAACATTTAACCAGGAAGTTCATGCCTCTTTCCTTACCAATAATGCATATTTGGCAAAAGCCGATTTTGAACCGGCTCTTGCCAAATATGCATTATTGGTAAGGAAAGAGGCATATATGCAAATATGCAAGAAGGCAGAGTTCTAACCATTACACTACTGCTGCTATAACTGTAAATACGTTGTATGCCATTATGATTTTCTTAAAAATTTCATAAATTATATTGTGTCTATAATGCCACTTAATTAAATCTACAATCAAAGATTATAACTTAGTTCATTTAACAATAAAATCGTACTTACTTGTGTTTTGTTGACAAGTTTTTGATGTTAATAACGTCTATATAAAAAAAATATATAGTAAAATAAAAACTCTTCTGTGTGAGTCATGTATGGGTAAATATAAAGATATAATTTTTCAAACCGCAATTAAATAAAAAATAATTTATAAATAATAATTAAACTAAATCCTGAAAATACTTAAATTATACTTTAAATCAAAATAAATACTCTGTTGAATAAAGTTAACAGATATTACTAAAAGTAAAATTAAAAAAAAAAGACAAACAATCGTAAAGGTTTTAATTTAAATTTTGACCGTCGATAACTACCCAGTTGTCGACGGCCAATCCATTCGTCGACGTTTTGTTACTAAAAAGATATTCTGAGCCAACACTAACTGAAGTAAGGTGCCGAAAGTTTTTAAAATGGTTGAAATAATCTCTCTCAAAAGGAAGTTTGGTTTTCGTAAAAATAAAAATAAACACATACAATGAAATCTAAAAAAAAAAGTTCCTTAAAGTACCCTTTACTCTTAGGAATAATTTCCATAACTATTTTTAGATAATCACAAGAAACGCAAAAAATGTAATTTAATTAAAGTTTTTGCTTTAAAATCACAATACTAAAAGACGGAGTGGGGGTAGAAAAGGTGTCGAAGACTGGAAAATATCCAGTATTCGAACACAAAAAAAAATTAATCATCATTACATTATTGTATAATAGAAGTTCTGAGCTACAACCCAGTATTTTATGTAATTTGTGCATATAAAATTCAAGTTATTGAATTTTATTCCAGTTTTCGACAACACCACATTTTAATCATCGACTGAAAAAAATGTTTCAACTTGCTTGGATTTTTAGAGAGATACTTTAAAAAAATATTGCTTTTTTGAATGTTATGATTGCTACACAAAAATTCCCTTTGGGCAATAAATATAGTTTTTTAAATTTCTCATTGCACAATCATTAATGATTACAACACTGTAGTTCCTTTGGAGATTAGTTCTAAGCCTTGAAATTTTCAAATAAATATCTAAATGTTTTTATTGTTATTAAATGTAGTTATATTCTTCTAAATTTGAAAAATATTAATTGAATTGAAATTAAAATAAAGATAAGATGTCTCCTAAAATAAGCAGCTGCTCAAAAATTGCATTAAGATCCCATTACATTGAGGAAAATATTGGCAATGCAGTTCAATAAGCTAAGAGATAAATTAAACTTTTAGTTGATTAATTTTACAATTATTTTTTACTGTACGCAAGTAGATCCTAATGAGAAGGTTATTGCTAGGTCTTAAACCTTATCTTATAAATATTGCACTAATCTTATAGAATAATTGGGAGCAGGCACAACTATAAAGTTGTAAGTTATTTTTACTCATTAAACTTTCAAACTATTATTCAAGCCTTTTTTTAAAAAAAAAATCAATAACCATAAAAACATTTAATCCATTTACATTTGTACATATCTTTTACAGATGTACATTTAAATGCGATGGCTCGATCATTGAATGTTTTCATATAGAATCTTTGCGTTTTGCCACTAGAAAAAAATTGGTTTAAGTATTTATAAAGAAGAAATGCAGATAATCAATGAGCAAGAAGAAATGCAGACAACCAACGAGTCCTGTAGAGGAAAGAAGCCATGAAGAGAAATGAAGCTATATAAAAGGTAATATTTATATTTCCTTTAAATTCTATTGAAACAGCATTGCTTATATAAAGTTGCATGTGTTTTTTAAATGTTTGCCCTGGCACTCCATTTTATTATTGTTTTCTTGCATTTTCAATTTTTTTTTTTTTTCGGTACGATCAAGGAAACTTTCTTACCTCATCCTGTCATAACCCCGTCATTTCCAACATCGTTTTCTAAACGTTATCGTTTAACATCGTTTTCTAAACTAACAGCTATAAGCAAAGCCTTACTGTATCATAGATGGTGAAGTTTCTAAACTCACTGTTTCCAAAATTAAGATATTTTCTCAAGAGTTCCATGTAATATCTGTCTTGACAATACCTTAAATAATCTTCATGTTAGGAATATTCAATAAAAAAAAAAAGAAACTATTCCCGCAAAATAAATTCGCAAATAAGTACAATTGAATCAATGTATTCAAAAACGTTCTAAGTCATTTTTTTTCTTTGAACATAGTTCCACAATTGTATAGTAAAACATTCCAAGTCAGATCTTTCCGTACACGTTGAATAGAGAGAGGAAATATTGTCTGTAAATTAAAAGGTTCTAGGTCAGTGACTTAGAGGGTTTTTGTTTTTAACGAAAAATACAAATTAAAACACGTTATTTTAAAATGTCAAATAAACTCAAAAGGGGAATTTAGGGGCAAAATATATAGTTCTAATAAGTTATAGACATGTTTCGTTTACTAGTTCAAGCAATCAATATAGGTTCTCGTAGGTTTCCTAAATTATCTGACACTTTTAGTACTAAATAAAAGTATTAAACGTTGAAATCTTACCTCTTTTTTCAAAGCCAGTTTATAAATGTATTATAAATGCGGATCTTTTCTTTATATTATTTTCATAAAGTTATATAAATAAATAGTTTAAATATAATGGATGAAAAACCTAGTATTAGCAGTGGAAGAAAAGTTAAAAATGAGACTATGTGGAAAAGAAATGTTGTTAAAGAAGTTAGAGTGAAAGGTAAAGAAAACATTGACTACAAAGGAAGAACTGTGTCTGCTACTACTGTTGGAACTGATTGCAGGTGAGATTTTTATTGCAATTTCGATACCCAATTAGTTTCGATACCCAAAATTGATAACAAAACTTATCATCACTTCTAGTACTACTGGTAAATTTCCTGTTGAAGAAGTCGCAACAGAAGATATTGTAAATTTTCAAAAGTGGTGGCCAACATTCTACAAAAAATCTTGCATTTCGGAAGAAACACAAGAAGAGAGTGTTTCTGCTAAGGATAAGATAAGTTTTGGAAAAAGTTCTCTAATGCACTTCACTTAAAGGACTTTTCCAGGTGTAATTTTCTGTAGACTTCTCATTGATGGGCTGATGGTCCAAACTTACAAGATGTCTCAAGTCGTCGATCGCATCGTCAAGTTTCCGCAAAATGTGTGCTACTTATTGGGTAATGTTCCAATAAAAAAAGTGAAACTGCAGGATATTAGGAAGCTAATGAATATGTTCCGGATGAGTTCAGTTGTTTTTATGATGAACTCATTAGCTGGCCAACAACCGACGAGGCGAATGACGGGAAGGAACACGATATCCAGTGAAGTGTCTGACAAAGGCTTTGTGATCGGTTCTTTTATACATTGTGTGATTTAATATGTGTAACAGTTTGACTTTTGCTTTTTAATAGTTTTTGTACAAAATATGAATAAATATATAAAAGACAAGCTTTTTGTTATTATCCTTAACAAATGTAAACAAAAAGGTTCTAAGTCAGACAACTTTAACTATGTATGTAAACACATATATGTATCACTCATTTTGATATGTATTTAACAAATCTAATATTTAAAGATGTCAAAATACACCCAGATTTTTTTTTTTGAATTTATTAAAATAATAGTTTTGGATTTAATATGTTTTTTTTTTTCAATTTCGATACCCAATGTAATCGTATCTCGAAAAAATAGTTTTTGTGACTCAGAATGTTTTTGTATCTTGAACGTTTTAATATTTTGTTAAAAATCCACAAAAATAAAGCAGAAAAAAAAGTTTCATATTTTGGCTTAAATTGTAAGTTTTTATCTTACGCTGTAACCATACCGGCATTCGTTTTTAAAAATTACGCTCTAAATGTCTTTTAAACGTTTTTTAAACATCTTTTAAACGCTCTTTACATAAGAATTTTTAGAATATGTTTAAAAGACATTTAAAATACGTTTAGAACGTAACTTTTAAAAACAAATGCCTGCTGAAAAAGTATAAAAAACAAACTTTTAAATGTTTTCTTCAAAGTATTTATATTATAGTTTACGTTGTAAATTATAAATAAAATACTTTTTCGTTTTGCTACGTATCATTTATGTTTGTTTGAAGAAATACCTAATTTAAAAATTTTTTAAGTGTCGAATACTGAAGAACAAAAACGTTGATCTTGAGATGTTGTCATGTGTTCGATATTTTGATATTTCGAGGGCTATAATTCCTTTATTTATTTTTGGTCCTCATTCACTATAAGTGTATTGTAAAGAGCAACTATCCCTTTATACGATAAAACTTTAAGATTGATCATTTATGAAATAAAGAGTGAGAAATCAATATTTATATAAGGTTAGATAAAAAAACCGGTCGAGAAGTTGGTGGTTTACCCTATATATTGCTTTTAATTATTGGTTATGATTTCTCTAACAATTTTTAATATAAAAATTTTATCTTTTTATACTTGTAGTTTTATCTTTGTATACTTATATATATATATATATATATATATATATATATATATATATATATATATATATATATATATATATATATATATATATATATACATATATATATATATATATATATATATATATATATATATATATATATATATATATACACATATATATATATACATAAATATATATACAATTTATTATATATATGTATATATATATATATATATATATATATATATATATATATATACAATATATATATATATATATATATATATATATATATATATATATATATATATATATATATATATATATATATACATAAGTTATATATATAAATATATATATAATAACTATATATATATTATATATATAATATATACAATTTATTATATATATATATATGTATATATGTATATATGTATATATATATATATATATATATATATATATATATAAATATATATATATATATACACATATATATATACATAAGTATATATACAATTTATTATATATATGTATATATATATATATATATATACATATATATATATATATATATATATATATATATAATATTATACATAAGTTATATATATAAATATATATAATAACTATATATATATTTATATATATAATATATACAATTTATTATATATATATATATATTATATATA